TAATGTGGGGATAGACTAATAAAATTTGGCAAGAATTTTTTAATTATGAGCTACGTACAACTAATTTTTTTTTTTTTTTTTAAGCTTACTTTAATAAACACATGATATTTGAATAGACATCGTTATAGAAAGAGCGGTCTTCAATTTATACTAAAAAGTCATGCATCACGCACTGTACGTACGTATATACATAATACGTCGCATTGCATTAAACCAATTATATACCTATTTATTATCATATGACTTTGAAATCGATTTCTGGTGTCGAGTAAGTTCGGACGAAAGGTGGGCGAAACTGTTGCGCATTCCTACTTAATCTTATCTAACATTTTGGATAAGAATACGTAATAATCCTTAAATTTATTTTTAGTACAATCAAAGTTTTAATTAATCACTTCCAACCGTCATCATGTATAAGGGATAAATAATAATTACTTAATACATTACTTAATATTACTTAATATAAGACTGCAAAATGAAACCGACAGGTCTAAAAATAGAATTCTTTAAACAACCGATTAAAAGTTGCATTTCGTTGTATAAAGAATTCTATTCTAGATTTCCTGGGTCTTCTCTTGATGGCATTCATATTATGTAAAGGTGATAATTAGTGATTCCGATTCCTATAAAAATTATTTTAGTGACCAAACGTTAAGCCACCTTATCTGTAATGCCCGATCAACCAGGCGGGGAGTAAGATCAGGTGTAATGTGAAAACCAAACAAAAACCAAAAAAAAAAAATTAGTTGTACGTAGCTCATAATTAAAAAATTCTTGCCAAATTTTATTAGTCTATCCCCACATTAATTCATCCACGCAAACTATAAATTTATTTTTGTAACAATTCTACAAAAGCCAATTTCATAGTTAAGTTTGAATAACCAGAGATTTTCGATTTTTTTTCGGTTTTAATTTTTTCATTACCAGATACCCGTTCTTAAAATTGATTGGCTGATCTGAAACCATCCGATGTTTACCAAATCTCGCTGGCCAATCAAATTTCGGCGAGTGCAACGCGAAAAAGAACGCAAAAATCAAAAATAATCTATCAAAACGGGCGTAACTCAAAAAATTACCAATGCAATTACCTTCTATGTACTAACAAACGTTTATCTTTCGGAATTTTGGAGTTTGGTATCACTACACCCTTCGAACCTTAACCTAAAATGTAGTGAAATGTATCCCTAACCTAATGTCGAGGTTCTTTTAGCAAAATTATTAGGTGTCACTATTATTCTTCTCGGCATATCCCGTGCCAATAAATATTTCAGGACCCAAACAGTGGGGGTATTTTGGTTTCACGGTTTAAAGGTGTTGGACATTTTTGTAAGCGCAAACCAGATATGCCTATGGGCATAAGATGTTTACCGAAAAGTACCCACATTTTTGTTCCTAAGATTACAAAACGTCTAGTCTGAAGTCTTGGAAATATTATGAGAATGGTCACGAGTTGCCCTTGTCTAAAAGCGTCCGGCACCTTGTAGGCACAAGTATACCCTAGAAAAAAAAAATTCGAAAATCAGATCCCGACTTTCACAGGTTACCATTCCGGGATATGCCCATTTTCCTGGGACAAACATATAAACCCTGGATATTTCGTAAATCCTGATAACTTCCGGGTAAAAATTAAACCCCAGTAATGTTCAACTTTAATTTTAATACATGAAGTTCAAAAAAATTGAAAGCCGAATATTACCAGGCTTTAATTTTTACCCGGAAGTTATATGTTTTGTTCAAGAAAAATGAGCATTTTCCGGAACGATAACCGGGTATGTTTTTTTCAAACCATTTTTTATATAGTAAATTGGGATTTATAATTATCTGTAATCTTAACCAATTTATTTTTATTTCTAACTAAAATATATCTATTAGAAAAAAACAAATTAAACTATATTGTAGAGATTTAATAAATTTAATTATTGTTCTCAAATCTATATTAATGTTCAATCAAAATAACAAGTTTTTATAAAGCTTATCAAATATACACATATATACAAAGGTATATATATATTTTTGCTAAAAAAAAGAAAAAATCTTTTTTAATATGGTAATCGTGCGCTCTTATTTTCTTACTGTTATCTATTTGGGGTTTTTTTATTTATATAAAAAAAAATAAAAAGGTTTTAAGCTGTTCAAATTGTTTGTGTTTGTGATTATTTATACCAAATTTACAAATAATGGAAGAGGATAAAATAAATTTTCAGATTTCGTAGTAAGAAAAAAAAAAAAGGCAAAGAAAAAGAACATAGTAATAGATTCGGTAAAGTCCGTGAACCTTTTCTGAAAAGTTTCTTCAACACAATTATAGATAGCTTAGTGATGATAATGATTAGGAACCATAAAATAAGATTGTTGCTTTAAATAAGTGGGATGCATATATTGTTGTACGTGACCAAAATAATATGGTGATGTATAATGTCCTTGTTGAAAATGTTGGTATGTTTGAAGCGTTGGAACGCCAGGCAAAGACCAAGGAGGGGGGAATGCTGAGTTTAAAGAAATATTTTGTTGCAAATGTTGATATTGAAACTCTTCAATAGAAGGCCATTCAATAGATCGGTCATTTTTGTGAGGCATCATATGGACTTGACGATGATGCTTGATCAGGTTTGTTTTTCTACAAAAGCTTTTAAAAATGTAGTGTAAATCATGTATCGACGCATACCTATGTAGTGATTGGACTCATAAACTCGTGACTTGAATAATTCGAATAGTTCGAATAACTCGAATTTGTCATGATTCGTATCTTGTAATTTTCAACTCGCGAGTTAACATATATTAATAAGATTTGAAAAGAAGCTTGCCTTGGCCAATCGGAATATTAGATACACTTGGGTTTGGTGCTGAGAAAAGGAGCGAATTTGACAAAAAATAATATTCCCAAAAAATCAATTATCTCGCTAATTGATTTTTTGAGAATATTATTTTTGCCAAATTCGTTCCTTTTCTCAGTACCAAGTCCAAATAATAATTTGATTTTTTTTGAGACTTGAATAAGACTCGATTAAATATTCGATCAAATAATTCGGTTAAATAATTCGATTACTCTTAGTTTAATTCATGAATCACGAGTTGACACAAAGTCCAACCATCCTATTTGAAAAAAAACAAAACAAAACAAAAAAAAAAAAACCTTTTTTCACATCCATCAATGAGACATTTATAAGGAAATTTTCCAGCGTGAATGCGCCTATGGCGAGCTAAGGAACTACTATCAGAGAAAGATTTATTGCAATCCGGATATTCACAAAAATGAGGTCGTTCCCCTGTATGCGTCCGTAAATGTACTGTAAGAGCAGACCTCTGCGAAAGAGCGAATGTTTTTTTTTTAAAAAAAAAAAAAGATAAAAAAATATATATATATATATATATAACAAACAAAAAAAAAAAAACAAAAAGTATTCAAATCGATGAAATACCTGAATAAAGCTTTTACCACAACCAAGCTCGCTACAGGTAAAAGATCTGTTCATGTACATAAACATATTATATTAGCATTTAATAACTCTTTGTATTGTAACAAGTTTGAACAAAATACCTTTCTTTAGTATGAATTCGGGAATGCCGAGATAAATCTGATCTTCTCGAAAAAGCCTTATGGCAACCTTCCCAGGTGCAGCTGAAAGGACGAGCATCACTGCAATAAGATTCTACATGAAGCAGTTCTAAAATATCCATAATATGATCTTATTGTGGAGAAAACTTTTTTGTATTATAATAGTATCTTTATATGAATAATCAAAATTTCATTCAAGCTTTATTTCTCGTGAAATCCTCTGGTTTTTGGATAAAGGGATTCGTAGTATGAGCTTTGTAATTTTGCAGCTTTGTTTTAAGTATTACAATGCCAATCAAATTATTCTTTGAAGTGACCAAGCGCTAGCTTCTGAAAACAAATAATAATCGTAAATACTAAATTGACAGAATGACACGATACGATGTTTTATAATTTTTTTCATGCATCTCACAGAAGGAGACATCTAAGGTGTTAAAACAAAGTAAAGATAAAAAAGGGCGTACAAAAGAGCTGAATAAAATGGGCGTGCGTTGATATAATCCGCCCGAAAATAACTCTGTAATGAATGCATAAGAAGTTGGTTTTATTCTTTACAAAAAAAATTATAATACTATTGGTGTTTTTCATAATAACAGATTTGGGTAAGAAAAAATTTTTTTACATCGTGATAAAGTGCTGCAAGGAGTTTTACGAATATTACACAGTATAAATAAAAATAGATAAAAAAAAAGAGACTGCAAGAATTTATGTATGCTATATATTTCATATCTCGGAATTTCATACCTTCGTAATCCAATAAAAACCATAATCATAGATCATAAAAAAAAAGATATATTAAAAGATATATTATGTAGCATATATATATATATATATATATATTCGGTACACTGTAGTTTATATTTTATGCATTGGATATGTTAAACAATGACAGGGCGGATTTTCGGAAAGGCCACGGTTTCAGGGTTCACAGATTGCATGATAATATATCGTTATATCGGAGAGTGAAAAATTTAAGTATGGGATCGGCTTAAGCAGGGACGTAAACGTGCGTTGCAGATAATGCATGTAAACCAATTTCTTGGAACATAAAAAAAAAAAAAAAAACTCTTTTAACGAGAAGTACGTAATAAATTGGCCGATGATAGGATTGAACATGTATATTATTACGGTCAAAATAGCAGGGCTTTCATATCGTGTCTTTTGCTTATTTTACAAAAACATCCGCGCGATTTCTACGCGGTACTTCTATGCAGTACTTCTACACAGTACAGGTAAATATATATATATTAGACATAATAATTCTAAACTTTCACAGATCATCAAAAGTTTTAGTATTGATATTAGTTAAAGTAAGTACGTACTTGCCGAATTTCACATGCGAAAAAAATAGGTCAATTCATTGAACTAAGAATACTAGCAAAATAATATATTTTTAAGGTAATTGGCTAACTATAAGTGCTACCTCGCGTTTCATATTATTGTAACTCAAGTTCCCGAATCCTGATAAAGTTAGCTGGCGTTAGCTATAATGCTAGCTGATTTATGTTCTTTCTTGAAAATGGCTTTCTCAAATGGCTTTCAAATGGCTTTCGGAAAATCCTACAATAACGATAATCGTTTCATATTACTAGAGATAAACTCAATTTGAGTGACTAATCATATGCAGGGATATATGGACCTTACGCCAGTTATTTGATGTGACAACCATGAAGATACTTGACTTGAAAGCCAAATAAAATTATTATGACACGTAATTGAGTTGTTCAAGTATGCCTGTGTCCAGGACATCAATGATCATCCAATAATCTGGTTTGTGTTAAAAGCAAAAGCCGCGTCAATTGGAATTGTTAGACATACATTTGCATTATCATATACAGGATCAACTTCATTACGTTAATGGCGTCCTTTGTCCTTTTTTTTTTTTTCTCTTAAATACAAATTATCCGACGAATTTTGATTGGTTCAGGGATCAGGCGACAATAATAATTGCATAGATTATATTCGCGACAAGATGAAGCCGCCATCTTTCCTAAAAGTATCAACTTTGGTTGTACTTACAATGCGGCTGAACATGTTTATGTATGGCATAAGTCTAGATTACTTAAAGTTCTGCCGAGACTTAATAATCTATCAAAGGTAAGCAATACCAACATCAATTTTTATAGATTGATTTATTGGTATTGATAACAAAAAAGTACATATAAATTATAAAAATTATGTATATTATGCATATATTGAAACGGCTTAAAGTTCTGGATTCAATTAAAAAATACTTAAAAAATCATCTTCTAATCTCATCAGCATCATTCAAAGTTTGGAAAGTTTTTATGCAAGCACTAATCATGTCTAGACGCGTCATTATTTCACTTTATATGGTAGTCAAGCATGTTCATAACCCTACTTTGAAAATTTTATATATATTGTATTAGAAAAGGATAATTTGGCTTTCTTAATCACAGTTTGTCAATTACAATATTTGATATACATATAATCCAATCAATATAATCAATAGTAAGGCTTTTTCACCTGACTAATATTGAGATAAAATCAAATCTAAATATTTACCTGTTATATGTGCTAATTTTATAAACCTTTTCGGATTCGGATGATAACCTTATAAAAGTATAAGAATAATATTAGTTTAAAGAGCTCAATTACTGTTCATAAAGTTCATAAAGTCAAAAAGATCCTCTTTATAACCCGCAAAACAAAATTTACTGTATAGTTTATAATAACAATCAGGTGCATGCATTAAATGCATGCTAATTGGCCCAGTGTGATATTATGCACCAATTTCAATACTATATAATTATATTAATACGTGACATGATCAGATTTCAACCTCTGACACTCCTCTGACACGCTAGTATGTGTGACCAACTGCCTCATATTTCCATCCAATATCTATTTTGCATGTCTGTTAAAATGCTATGTCATGAGTTAGCATTTAAGAGATTTGAATACTTCCAATATAAAATAACTCGTACACGTATTAAACTTATTAAGTATTATTAATTGCGCAAATTATATGCCTACGTACATACATACTATGTACGTACGTACCTTTAAAGGTCCTGCATTAAGTGATATGAACCTCCCGAGTTTGTGTCATTACATTCTGTGGGTACACATGCCCTATATGATGATGTGTTGAAGTTATACATGAGAAATTTGCGGTAAATCTCCTGAATTGGTGTTGTAGGTCTCACCTGATTTTACCTCAAAAGTTTCTATTTGATGAAACCTCGATAAGAACTGTGGCTATTACTACCACTAATTAAAAAATAACATTTTTACTTGAAAATATATTGTAAAATGAGTATACTGTATATATATGTGTGTTGCAAATAGGGTCAAATGGGTCAGAATTCATGTAGTTAGAATTTTAGGGTAGAACTTGTATAAACCTACGCCCTAACTTTAAAATCTTATAAAATTCAAATTCCACTTAAATTCCGTTCTCACAACATAAGTACAACTTTATTGCACTTTTTTAAAAAAAGGCACTATGTTTTTTTGATGTGATTATAGAATGGTTTAACTGTACCTAATCGTTAAGTAAATAAATAATGTATATATGTTTACATGTTTTGAGAACGGATTTAATGGATTTGGAACTTCAGGGTTAGGGAGTATGTTTATATAAAATAATTTCTACCCCAAAATTTTAATTTATTATGATTCAAATCAACTCAAATTATATTCTCACTTACAGTATTTATATAGATTTTTTCTACATACTGTACTTCTATATATTTCTATATATTTCTATATATTTATTATATATTTATTATATATTTATTATATATTTATTATATATATATTTATTATATATTTATTATATAGTTGGGTTTAAAATAGATGTGCTTATAAAGAGAATTCTTGTATGATGTGCTTATAAAAAGGGTGATTATAGAGAGGTCTGTCTCTAATAGCAATATTTTTAAATATATATATTTTTTTATCGTTTCTTAGTAGTTTTACTAGTGTAAGATTTTAGCGGAAATTGTTGGCCAATTTTTA